GACTGATGGGAGTTGGGGGTGAGAGAAAAGTGCAACACCTCTTCTTCTGGACACTGTTGGATTGTATTGAGTCAAATGGTATCCTCAATGCTTATGCAACTTTCAGAACAGGAACGGAGGCCTTGGTATAGTTTTATCGTACCCTTTAGCCTGATCTCTCCATCTTCAGTCAGGCTTAATCACAGGTATGTGATTTGTGTGAACTGAATATTGGATCTTGCACAAAATACTAAAGCGTCTGCCTTCAGTTCATACACTAATCAAGCAATTTTGGGGTATCCTCCTTTCTGGTCACTTAGCATGTGTGATGAAGAACTTGCTAAGGTACTTCAGAATCCCATTTTCTTGTCTTAAACCAGGAGCTGGAGGTTGTGTGAAAAGTTACAATACCAAAAAATCTCGCTTGTGCCAATTGAAGTCACGGGTAGGATTTTGGCATGGCTGAGATTGGTCACTGACTTCAGGGTGGTGGGCATCTCGTTTCAAGCATTGATACTTAGTGTTGTGATTCCTTATTTGAAACGGAACAGAATGTTCTGCCACAAAACAGCAGCAGTTGTGTACTCAGCAAGCTGCTGCAAGGATCTTGTGATCTTTGTTGCAGTTTAAGCCTTATTAAGATTTGGGTGCAGTAACACTAGTAAATTTAGATTTAAAAGCTTTTTTTACAGGGGTATGACCTTCTTAGCTTGTGTTAATCTGCAAGGTGTGCTGTGTGCTAATAGCACTATGCAAATAAAGCTGCATTTGTCCATTCCTTAGTGTGGAATATAGAGAATTACCTTTCAGATGACTGATACAGAATTGTAGCACAACTTCTAGCTTGATTTCACGCAGGAACAGTCATGTTTTTCCTCCTCATCTCCTGAATATCTTTCAAGACAACTTAGTGGATGGAGGCAGTTAACATACTGACTTTTAACTGAGGGAAGACAGAGGTAACAAGCTAGGAGTGCTTCAAACTGATGCAAAGGTCAGTCAGAGACAGGCTTTTAAGTGCAGCTTCCGCTGAAGTTCTGCCTGTTAAGACACTGAAGTCTCCTGTAACGTGAATCACGTACGAAATCAAATGTGATTGTATCTAATACTCATTGAGGGACTTGTCAAAAGATTTGTGTAGTTTTGGTCTGAATTGCTACAAGTAAGGATTTCTGGACAAAACTGGGAAAAAGTATTCTTGTATAAACGACAAGTGGAATGTATTGTTGAATAATGTAACAGATTCTTTTGAAAAAGTGAAAAGCTATAGTCTGTCAACACATACCTGTGAGAGATGATTCAGCATTGCAAAACTGTGTCTTGGAGTGTACTGAAGCCCAAAGCAGGCCTGGAGCTTTGATTTCTAGAGTGATCAGTGGGTGCATAAGCATCTTGTGGGATAAAAAAACTGCAGGGGAAAGCCGTTCAGGTTTTGCTTAGTCTCTCTGGTAGAGGTGTATGCGCATGACACAACAAAATCCCTCAAAACCAGCCAAACAAAACACGGGGGGAGGGGGAACCTCAACCAACCAACCTACCTGTAAAGAGCTGTGGTTCTCTTCACTTAGATACCTGTGTTCACTTTCTGAATTTCTGTCTGCTCATCTCATTTACTTTTGCCATGTCTAATCCAAATAGACCTGAATGGTGTGCACTTAGTATTTTGGAGAATGCTGGTATAGAACTCCTTGGTTGCCTTTCTCTCCTAATATGGTTTGCTCTGCGTGCTGCTAGGCATGAGAAATGTGTGCAGGTTTTTTTCTCCATGCCCCTTTAGAAATAAGCAGTTTCACTTATTTGTAGTATTTTATTCTGCACAGCCATGAGTGCTTATGCTGCTCTCTGAGATGAGTTGTGTCTTGAGCTCTTTTCTGAAAGCTGCCAGTGCAGAGTCAGCAAGGTAGAGACCATAGCCTAGTGAATTGAGAAGCCTCCCCTTTGACCTTTGAAAGAGCACACTTTCCTGGCTGGTAATCTTCTCTGGGCAGTCAGAGGCAAATTCATTAAATGTCTTTTTCTGTTCTGCCACTGTGCTGTGTTCTAGCCTGTGAAATAAAGGTTTTTCTCTAAGCCCCCTCATCAGTTAAACCATTGTCTGCCTAGCCCTTCTCTTTTGAAGGACTTCAGTGTGTATAAACCCATTGCAGTGAAACTTCCTCAGGGCGCCTATTCATGCTTCTTGCTTGCCCAGTACATAAACTACACTTCTGGGTTAAATATGCGCATGTAATGGCTGGATTCTTCTGTGTGAGCCACTTCGCTGTGTGTTGCTTGTCCTTGAGGACTGAAGACCTTGTTACAGTACCATCAGCCGGAAGTGTTAGCTGCAAACTGTACTTGACTCTGATAGGCTTACCCAAAGTGGGCAACATGCCAATAGAATTTTAATGTGGATGGGTTGATTGACGTGTCAAACTCTCAAGGTGACCTTCTCTCTTGAATCCAGATCACTTAGGAAAAATTATTTTGTAACTATGACAAGTATTGATTGTAGATCTTCTAGTCCTTGCCTGTTCTCTTTGGCTTCTGCAAGCTGGTGTTGGTAGTCTCGTGCTGGCCTCTGTTAGTGCAGGGGCTTAGATGCTTAGCTAGTTTCAGCAGCTGACCTGTTTGTGAGGGGGAAGGGAGAGGATTAAGTGAAGATCAGGTTTTTTTGTTCCTTGCAGAGGTTTAGCTGTTCCTGTAGTTAAAATACATGCTGTTTAAAACTGTGTTTGAGTTAAGTTATCAGTTCTCTCAACTGTGAGAGAAGAGCATGAGTGTCAAGTGGAATCTATGGACAAAACGGAGCTATTCTCAGTAAGTGCTTGAGACTTGAAAGCTATGCGCATACACTCTTCAGTGGCTGAAGAATTGTGCAACCACTGAAATACAGTAGACTCAAACAACATTTTTTTTGTGGATGATCCTTGAAACACAGCAGAGTAGCATTGTGTTTTAATATTTTTATGTATAGTGTTGTCAGTTGCTCTGAGGAAAAAGAGAACAATGCGGAAGTCTGCTAAAACATGGCATGTTTAAAAAAAATCTCTTTGGTTTTAAATAAATTTCTCCTCTTGTTTTGTAGACTTCTCCTTGCTGGATAGGTGGAAACACTGAGCCGTTGACTGGATTTACGTGGAGAGGTGGATGTGAACGGGAAACCACTGGCATTCAGATTTGGAGTGAAGTGTTTGTAATTGATAAGCCCAATGGAACAAAGGTAAGTGCTTGACTTAAATAGGTGTATGTAAGGATTTTTGTTTCTGTGTGTATACCTTTAATACCATGGGTTTCATGGAGGCAGTTCAGAAATCCGTTACTTTCCTTTGCATTCAGTAGCTGCGTAGCATATTTGGAAACCTTATATCAGTGCAAGTGTGAATTTTCCTGCTGGGTTGCAGATTCAATCTCCAAAAATAGTCCTATTCTGAGAGTACTTTGTTTTGGCAAAGTCTACTCTGTTCAGGCTGATGGGTGTGTTATCCTGTGGATGTTGTAAAACTGTGGCTATAGATACCTTATATAGACAAATGCTATGATAAGAATAGGTCTGTTACAAACACTGCTTTTTGAGAGGTGAGAATGTGTTCTAGCTTGCTGCTGTGTCTTAGTGAAATGTAATGCATAGCTGTAAGTACTGGAAACAGCTTCAGTGTCTGGAAGCTTGTCCTTCCGTGTAGTTTAACAGATAGCCTGTAAAAAAGGACCAATTCTAATAAGGCACTTGCTCTTTTCTAATGAAAGCTGGTGCATCTTTAACTCTTAAGTCAGTTTAACTATGAAGTTTGGTTGTAGGTGTTTATTATCTTGCTGAAACAAAGTATTAATGTTGTTAATAAATATTTACTTCACAATACTGGTGGTATATCTTGAGCTATTCATATTCTCCTGAATCGTAAGCTCTTGGTTATCTACTTTCATACCTTTTGCATTTGCAAAGGAAACAGCTGATGGCCAATTAGTATGGGACATTGATCTTAAACAGATAGTGGCTTGGGGATGTGCAGGAAGTTTTATCAAACTTCATAGCTAACCAAGCAGTTCTCTGGCTAAAAAACAGTTAAGTTGCAAGGCTCTGGGGACAAATCACTCACTTGTTCTTGCTTCTCAGTCATCCCTAACTGAAAGAGAAGGGAATTGTAGTAGATTCCAAAGGTAGGAATTGACAGACTAACTTTTATCATCAAAATGATATCATTACTTGTCATTCCAGCAGACAGTATCAATTCTCTTGTTTTCTTCTGAAAATAATTATTTTAAGATGGATGTATTTTTAAAAGTAACTATCTCTTTGCTTTAATGGACTATCCTGGCTTGTCCATTGAGACTGAAGTTCTTCCAGTGAATAAGAGCTGTGTGTTACTCTGCACTGTACCCCCGCTGGGCTGAGTGAGGCCTTTTCTGTGGGATAGTGTAGCAAGGCCAAGGACTTGCAGCTGATAACATGAGCCTCTAGTTGTTGCTTACTTAGCTGTAGGCGTGGGAAGGGAGCTGACCGAGACTTAATAAGTAGATATAGGGACAGAGACTTGGTCTGCTTGAGGTAGAATTTATCCCAATGGCCTGGAGTTTGAATTTTTTAACAATTTGGTTAACTATTGCTGCTCTTTAAAACTCTCTAGGTTGCTGTGCTACTCATGGATACCCAAGGTGCCTTTGATAGCCAATCCACTATCAAAGACTGTGCGACGGTTTTTGCTCTGAGCACCATGACAAGTTCTGTCCAGGTGAGAATACCTGTGCTGGCAAATAATGGCAGTTATAGGAACACTATGCTGAACATGCGAAGCATATCTCTCTAGCCATGCTATGAAAGTTCACCTGCATGTGTTCCTCCAACTATCATTTAAGCTTTCACCCTTAATGTCTTATTTTCAGTGTAGTATACTACATAAGTTTCTCTGTGGAATCAAAGTTTTCCAAGGCCAAACTGAGCTAAAATGCTGACTGAACTGGGGAATCACAAAAAAATGACAAAGGAGCAACTGCTTCTGTGCAGATGAGTTGCAGAAGCTTTTTTTAAGACTTTAGCTTGGGGTAAAATTACACTGTGATCAGCTAAACTTACAGTTGCTTCTGCTGTTAAATTTCTGACAGTCCTCTTGTGCTATCCCAAAACTACTTCTAAGGTTATACCTTAAATGTGCTGAAAGTGAGCAGGTTTCTGAGGGATGACGAGAGACCTTCTTCAGACACGCTACAATATGAAAGTAACAAGAGTGTGTAGAACACTACTTCTGCCCTGTGGGGTTGGTTTTGGTGGGTTTTTTGTTTGTTTGGCTTTTTTTGGTTTGTTCCTGTGATTAGGAGAAGTTGGGGATTATTGATGCATCTTTGAGTTTACTGCTGTTCAGTGTTTGTGCTAGTGAAACAATCACAAGCTCCCTGGATAAAAATCAGATTTCACTAGGAAAATTTGAAAGCAGAAAACCCCAGTGAACTACCCACCAGTCATTTCTGTGTTAGAGATTACTGCTGCTGGATCAGTGAATCCTGGAGCGCTTGGACTTGAGGATAGCGAACAGATGTGCTCTTCTCAATCCTCCTGTCTCTCACTAATGTGGTGATTTGAAGCATTCAGCAGTCTTCTCTGATTCCTGCATGGCTTGCTTCCTTGGAAAGAAGGATCTAAGAAGTTCTGAGAAGGATCAGGGTAGTCAGCGAAGGTTTTGTCCCTAGCACTTTGTTATAAGGAAGTGACTCCTGTTTGAGATAAATTCTGTGACACCTTTCTGCTTGCTAACTACTTCAGGTAGTTAGACTTTTCTGAAGGGGGTAAAAATACGCAAGGTACCTAAAGGAGACTACATGAATGTAAGATAATGGTTTCATGTTACACTGTAATGCTTTTACTGCCTCTTGTAGGTATACAACTTGTCCCAGAATATTCAGGAAGATGACCTTCAACATTTGCAGGTAAGAATATACTGAGTTTATATTAAGCTGCTTTTGAACTGATAGTCTTGACATTGTTCTTGAAGTTGCTACTAATGTGACTTGATTTGGGAGCTGCCTACTACTTCATAAAAAGCACCGAAGCTGACCTGGTGGTAAAAGTAGTACTGCCTCTAACAATGTTATTTGCATCAACTCCATGATGCTGTGATGCCTCTGCTGTGCCAACGGAGAGGTAAAATAGCTTATAATCTGGCTAAATCTTGCCTTTCTAAAGTCTGTTCTCTATATGGTAAGTTCTGAAATTCCCAAAAGGACGAGAACAGAAAATGGTTTATGGAAGTACTTAATGGCAAAATTCCAATGCTTCTCCTTTTTCCCTAAAATAGGAAAATGGGTGGCATTTCATCACTGTTTCTAAAGAAGTGTGAGAGCTTGGGTCAGGGCAGAAAGAGTATGTTCTACCGAGAAACCTTCTCTAGTTTTTCAACTGAGAAACTTCTACAGAGTTTTATTTCTGCTTGGAAACAAAAGCAGGAGAGTGTTGTCCTCTCTTTTTACTGTGGGGTTTTCATCCTCTCATGGAACATTGTGGTCAAAGGCCACTGAATTCTGGCTTCGTGTGAATGATGCAAGAACCTTATCTCCTTAACTTAAAACCTGTAGCTTTAAAAGCTAGCTTGTGTATTAACAAGTGCCTGCCTATGCTCAGGCCATGACCTTGTCACAGCTTAAAACTATTTTACATGTCTTCTGATTGAAAGGACTTCTGTCTTGGTCAGTGCTGCAGAGGACTGGCTGCCAATACTGGAAGTAGAAGAGCGCTAACTAAACATAGTCTTGTGATGCCGTTCTCAGTTAACAGAGTTGTATCACTGGGCCAAGACCCCAACCCCCCCCAAAAAAACCCAACCAAGCACTGCAAACAAACCCACAGCTAATTATTTGAAAGCCAGGCTTTCCTCATGACTTTGGTTCTTTGGCAGCTTTAGTGCTATCTGAATAGAGAAATCCCTTTCTATTGTACTGGAGGGTGAGATTTGAGGGAAAGGAGGGAAGAGAAGGGTGATTTTATACATATATATAAGCAGTGGGTAGAGGATTTGGAAATGCCCATGCATTTAAAATTGGGGCAAGGAATTGTGGGCTGAGAGAAGGGAGTTCTGAATTTCTGTTACGACGGCAAGTTCTGAATTATTCTGAAATACTGTTAGTCTCTTGCTACCATATCAATGCAGTGGGGAAGTGAATGGGGTAGGGAGTTAGGATCAAAGGAGCCAGTCTTGTGTGGGTGCTTGGCCACTTCAGAGCTGCTTTTGCTCAGGGTAACAAGGGCTTGGAAGTTAACTTCTGTTAAGGAAGTCTTGTAAGTTCTTGGGTGCTCTTGTAATCGGCACAAGGGGAGTTGTCCTTTTAGCCGTGAAACTTGTCTGAGATGTTCCAGGAGTTAGTTTTAATCCAGAAGAACAGTTGCCTGGTACTAGAGGATGCTGGTGTGCTTCCTTCATCTTGACCTCCAAGATCTGTGAAGGGGCTAGCATGGATCAACACCTGACAGTATTGACCTCTGCTGAAACAGCCAGCGCAGCCCATAATTCATGTTCTTGTGGGTTGTTTGGCCCACTCAGTCCAGTGAGGAATGTGGCTGCTGGTATTAAAGATGGTGGAAGCAACAAGTTATCAGTTAAGGTCACGAGCTAAAGTAGAGATCTGGGAAGCTGGTGAACTTGGCTTGTATTTAAATGTCTGATACATTTGGTCTAGCTGAGTTCCTTGAGATTTCCAGGAATAAATATTTTATAGGAAGTAAGGGACAAATGTTACAGGCTTATCTCCTTAGCCTAGGAAACAAGTGTTGGAAACTGGCTTGCTGAGAGTCACAGCCAGCTTTCCTCTAAGAACAGCCCACAAGATGCCCACTTAGAGCTGTGGTGCAGTGACAGTTGTGGTGAAACCAGCGGAAATCATGTCTCCTCATGAATTTTACTGAGGATTGATGTACTTGTTCTTGAGGTGTATTGGCCATTCTCAACCCATGATAGGAGTTAAGTTGAAACGCTTTATTTTCTAATGACATAATAGAGTATTTTACAGTAGAAAAATGTGTTTTATATGTGGCACCCTTATACTTTACTTTCTGTCAGTTGTTTACAGAATATGGAAGACTAGCTATGGAAGAAATTTACCAAAAGCCGTTTCAGGTAACTGTACATGTTAAATGGATCTTAATCAAGTGAATGTGTAGAAAATGAGCTCAGGATAATCTATGAAGAGAAATTAGTTGGGCTGAAACTTTCCTGTTCTTTACAAGATTGATTTTTCTTTCCCTGTCATCACCTTTCTTGGCAAAATGGGAAAAATGCTGAAGAGGATCTCATTTTGGGCAAGTACAGATTTGTGCCTGGGTTCTAAGGCATAAAAGGAATGAAAGTGTTGAGTGACGTGCAGGCATTAAGGAGAAAAGTTTCGTGCTACCTTCTTACTCATTAATCTTTGAGATACGGTTGGTCTTTGCTGGTTCTGAGTAAAGCTCATGGCCTCTAAGAAATAGGGTTGAGGGAGAGCTATGTTGTTTCATTTACTTGAAGCGTTAAAAGTCTCAAATCTGCTAGCATTTCCTGACCGTTTGCTAGGACAGAGAAGGTTTTGAGGCTGCTTCTGTTTAGTGGAGACAAAGACTGAGATCTCTTCCGTCATGAAGTATCCTCCTTAACCTGTAAGGGTACTAGTCGACTGCTGTTAGTGGTGAGGTTTAAGACTCTTGTGTCTCCAGACTATTCAGCCTGCAAGTGAGAGTCCTGGATCTATGCATTCTTTGTGAAGCGCCTCATCTGATATAAGTGTAATGTCAAGGTTTGTTTTCTGTCTTCAGCTGATGGGAGAGAGGATAATGTAATCCCTGTGGTATAGCAAAAGGCAAACCCATGGAACAGGGGAGCTATCTTTTTGAGGCACTTGGGTACTTCCTTTCAGATAAGGAGTGAGTTGCATTTGTGTGTTTCGTGTGTGGGTTTGGTGTGGTTGGTTTGGTTTTGTGTTTTTTGTTGTTTTTTTTTAAACAAGCAAACACTCATGCCACAAAACTACTAGGCTACTTCATTTACAGCACCCAAGCTTAGAAATTTTTTAAATAATCACGTGAGTGCTAGTTTCTGACCCTAGGAACGATCTAAGCTGTTCACTGCTGTTCTTCCTGTTACAGACACTAATGTTCTTAATTAGAGATTGGAGTTATCCTTATGAACATGCATATGGCTTGGAAGGAGGAAAAAAGTTTCTAGAGAAAAGATTGCAGGTAAGTTGTCTCCAGTAGTCCTAGTGTGGTCTTCTAACTTAAGTGACCACTTACCATCAGGGTCCTGATGCATGACGAGCTAACTCTTTGTGCTAATAAAAGAATACGTTTGTGGTATTCCCACTTGTGTGCGGAGTTCTGGGGTTTAGAACTTGACATTTCTGGGTTCAGGAATGAAACCTTAAACATACTTTTGTGCCCTTACTGCTTTTAAACTGATACCTGACCTTAACTGCAGTACTGCAAAACTATTAGCAGTTCTTACTACCTTTTTTTTCTTCAGGTAAAGCAAAACCAACATGAAGAGCTACAGAATGTAAGGAAGCATATTCACTCCTGTTTCAGTAATCTTGGCTGTTTCCTGTTGCCCCACCCTGGTCTTAAAGTTGCAACAAATCCAAATTTTGATGGGAGGTTGAATGGTAGGTTGAATGGTAGGAAGCTTTCCATTGTGTGTTTCTTGATTCAGATCACTGAGTTTATTTTCTTTTATAACGGAAGTTAAACACTGAAATTGTTGGCTATCGAAATGCTTGAGTGGAGAAATGTAGGGCTGAAAGGTGAAACTATGGAATCTAGAGATGCATCTTGTGTGTTCTTTTCAGTGATTTAAAAGGTAGAGTTAAGCAGACAGAGGGAACGGATATCTTTGTGTCTGGCTGTCGATTGTAATCTGATAACTTGAGATATACTTAAAGGTCATTAAATAAGGATTCTAAAGATAAGTAAGGATTCCAGAGGGGAGACTTCACAAAATTTAAGACTTTACTTTCTTAAAATTGAAAAGCTTTTCTTTTAAGAACTTGCTAAACCAAAGATCAGAACGAGAATGACTTCAAAGTAAAAGCCGTAGGTGGTTGCTGCTGCAAAGTCAAAGGCAGTCAGGATTCCTCCGATTGCTGCTTGACCCTCAGGAATGTATCAGAATGGCAAAGGCTAGAAAAGTGGGTTTGTGATAGTGGGATGCCGACTACTTCTGGGCACAGGATTGTTGTGCAAGATGTTGGTGTAATTAGGGAAATGCACTTTAAATATTACAAGGACTATGGAACCTTCTTTTCTCAGTTGGAAGTCAAGATTAAAAAGTAGGTAAAATTTACTAAAGCTATACTGTGTATTTAAGCCTTTAAATATCTTAAAAATGCCGTCAAGAGTTGTGATGCTAAGGATTTTGAAGAGTCATGGGTTATCAGTGTTCCTTTAGAAAATGTAAGATTGAAAAGAAAACTAACTACTTTTTTTCTTCTGAAATTGATTGAATTTTACTAGACATAGATGAGGATTTTAAGAAAGAACTGCGGAATTTGGTACCATTGCTGCTTGCCCCTGAAAACTTGGTAGAAAAAGAGATTAGTGGATCCAAGGTGACCTGTAGAGATCTTGTAGAATACTTCAAGGTAAGCAAACTCATACTAATTATTTCTGTTAATGGCTTAAAAGAAAATATTCTAATTTTAGGGCATGTTGTTCCCAGAGAAGATAAGATATCTAGGCTGACAGTCACTGATCAGCTTACTTTTATTTTCATTTCATCACTCTGACTTTCCAGAACTGGCACACAACTTCCTAACAATATAGCTCTTAGCAAGCTACTGTTGGCAAAATTGTGGTGGTTTGGTTTTGCTTTTCTTTGTAAATAGGCTGAAATACTTCAAGCTGTGTTAAGAGATTTTTTTTCCCTACTTTGAAATCCTAGTTTGCTTGGATGTGTTGGTTCTTTTTGTTCGTTTTTTTAAAGGTCTCATGTAGATGCTATGATAGAAAGTTAGCTCTTAAACTGCTAGGTGTGCAGTGAAAATTTCAAGTACCCCCCTCTGTATTTTTAACGTGCAAGGAAGATGCTTTCTAAACACTTGCCTGTGCAGTACCACCATATGCTGTGAAATACTTGTGTATGATATTTGCAGCTGTTTTGGTATCATGGTGACACCAGCAGAAATGTGATAACATAATCTGTACATCACCATGTGTTGGTCTGGTGTGCGTAACCTTTTTTTGAATTGGAATGACTTAGACAGTTGGTTTGGTAGGAGAAAGTGGTACTCATTCCTAAAGACATTAATTTTGCATTACTACTTTTAAGCCTGCACGTTAAAGGTAGAACAGAATTGGGCTGAAAGTAAGAAGCTATGCAAGGGAGAAACCTGAGACCAGAATTCTTTATAAAATGTTACTTCATTTTACAAGGGTTAAAGGAAAGACACTGTATGGGATGCAGAAGTCGTAGCTGTTCTGACAAGTGCAAAATCAACACTCTGGAGCTCCTGTGTTCAGCCTCTGTATTTACATAGTTGCATGCTCCTTTTTGTTCCACTTCTCTAGTAAGACCTGATCCTATACAGTGTAGGGAGTGTGCATTCAACAGTGGTTTAGACAGGACTGCACCCTGAAAACTTAGTTTAAAACCTCAGCTGTTGAAAAACTACCTCATTCATGTCTGGTATCCAGTCTGGGAGCAGTCATGCAGGGTGCTGTGGAAACACTGTGGTTATGTAACTAAATAGGTCTGCTGTCTTGGGACTGTGCATCCTAAACTGAGATTGTGAAGTCTGAGTTGGAAGATGGAGGGCTTTTACTTGGAGGAAAAAGCTAGAGAAGCAAGGAGGGTGTCAAGGGAACAGAGTCCTGTATAACTATACATTTTTGTAGGTTGTCCTACAACCTAGAGCATTGAGTACATAGGGATGCTGATAACCTTGTTCGTTCCTCCTTTACAGAGAAAAATCCTCAGGGCGGAGGCTTGTAGACAGGCCAGGGGGAGAGCAGTAGTAGCATGAAGAATAACTGCCCAGCCTCCAAGGGACTGAGAGTGGCCTCGTTGGTCTAACTTGCTCAGCTTGTCCAAAGCGCTGAAATGGCTACTGCTGCCTGCTATGCACTGTCCCCTAGTCTGTCCCAAAGAGCTGTGCCATGGGCTGGAGAAGACATGAAGGACATGTTCTCTTCCCTGCAACCCTGGTGAAAGAAAGGACACCTGAAGATTGGTGGGCTGAGGCACGGAGGGATAGGCTGCCTGCTTGGTTTCCAGAAGTATTTGGCAACTCGTCTCTGTCTGCATTAGTGCTTTGATCTGCCTTCCCCCCCCCCCCCCAAAAAAGGAGCAAGGCATATGGGGAAATGTCAGTGCTGGTTCTACTAGCACTACTGGGGTGTGTTTGGACAGATCTCTTGGAGAAAGGCTGTGCGAGATAGTCATCTTCCCTCTTTTGTTTTGGGTGAAGATTCCCTGTCTAGCAAAGAACTTACGTGTTTGAGGGAGAAGAAGCCTGCTGGCAAGCCTGTAAAGTAACAGGGTTAAAGCACTAGGAATAACTGTGAGAATGCCAGACTTGTATGAAGAAATTTGCTTAATTGACTATTTAGTGTTAATACAAAGAAATAATCTATGAACTCTGTCTTTAGATCATTCCTCTTTTCTCCATCTCAATCATAAATGTTCAGGAAAAAGAAACCTTTTTTCTTTCTCCCATTTAGGCTTATATTAAAATCTATCAAGGAGAGGAGCTACCTCATCCGAAATCTATGTTGCAGGTATTTTGTTTTTTCTTTCAGATGATCTGATAGATATATACTTTGCAAGTTCTTTCAGTTGAAGATCATGACTGCTGCAGGTCTGAAGCTCCCACAGAAAGAGCTGTAGTTGTTGAAGGAGCTGTGTGCTTTCAAACCCATCTGAACTGTGTAGCCTGGGTACACATTTGTGTTACACCTCTGCTCCATTTGGTAGATGGACCTGTTTGGTTGGGATGTTTTTAAGTTGCTTCAATTCTAGGCATGTGTTTTCCTGTAACTTGCTATTTTGTCTGTATCTTTCAGACTGTATTCAGAGGGCTTTTAGCATCAGATGCAGCAGATAAAATGGGAGAGGCTTATAGTGATGCAGCTATCACCACTGTTTTGCAGTGTTGGGCTACTCCATGTGGGTTTGTTAGATTGGATAATTGCATTGAGGTTTCTTTTCTGGATTGATCCAAAGAGGATGTAATCAGCTTTATATGATCTGAACACAAACTGATTGTACAAAGCTGTGTGTTGAACCCTTGAATTATTTGAGATGAAGAGCTTTCATCAAGCTGTGGGCTTTAGGGTCAGTTTTAACCATTTTGTGTTTCTAAGACTTGAGCTTTTTTTTAAGCTTCCTGTGTCACTTCATGAAGACATGACCATTCTTGGTGTCTTGTTGTCCTTTAAGGAATTGAATCTTTAGACTTTTGGGGGAGTTCAGAAAACTCATCACAATGAAATAAAGGCTGCTGTCATTTCCTCTACTTAGTATGCCATAAATGTGGCTGGGAGGTACAGAAGATGACATCTTGCCCCGTTAGCTAGAATAACTGTCCCTGATGTGAGACAGGTTGAAAGTAGTCTTAAGTTCTTACAAATTCTGCCAGACAAACACAACATATGTAATGCAGAAATAATATCAGCTTGCTTCTTTCCTCACAGGTAGTGATGTATCAAGATTAACATTTAATAGTTTAGTGATCCTTATTTGCTTATTAACAATAGAGCATTCAGAAGAGATTACTCATGATGAAAAGCCTGTACAAGCCCGTGGGAGTTTGTCTGCAGCTGTACTAGAAAGCTGAAGAAAACGTTCTCCTAGTCAGTAATCTGTTTTAATGTGTGTCACTAACCTTCACATAGTTTTTGTGGGGCATTTTCCTGGCAATCTGAAGTTTTGGAGGTTGTGGGGGGGGGTGTTGGGCAGTGTAACTACATGTGTGTAACGAGCCTATAATGCTGTGATGATACATGGTACTCAATGTTTTCTAGGCAACAGCTGAAGCAAACAATCTTGCTGCTGTGGCAGGAGCAAAAGACTTGTACAGTAAAGGCATGGAGCAGGTACAGTGACGCAACTTTTTCTAACTGCCTACTTGCAAATACAGGCCTTCAGTTTTAACATGCTCGGTGTTGGTTGTGAGCACGTTGACGGAGAAAAGTAGCTTAGGGCCAGTATTTGTGTGTTTTGTGCACTCTGCTCTGAGGTTAGATGTCTGATGCAGCAAAACCAGGATTCTCCGAGACAGAAATTGCTGGGGAGGTATGAGAATGGGCGTGTTTCTAAGATACCACCTGTTAGTTCTCCCTTCTGCTCTTGACAGACGTCTTAAAATCCTGTGACATGAAACGGGCAAACGGGTGAGATGACGTTTGGTGGGGCAGGGTTGTGCAAGGGTAGAGTTCTAGTATTATAGCCTCATGCTTCTGAATTGTGGTCATTCATTAGCTGTAAAATGCAAGGATTAAAATTATTCTATTTTTTTAAAAAAAAAAAACCCAACCCTTGAAATACAAGCATTATCTTGTCTGAGAAAGCTGTGTATGTAATTTCCTACTTCCTTCTCTTGAAGATAGTGATGTAATACCACTGCAAGCTGAATGTCTGGATGAACTTCATACTTCAACGTAGTGTTATGCGAGGTTTTGTCATGGGAAATTCTGAAAACAGTTACATGTCTCATAAAGCTTAACAGGACTATGCTTATTGTAAAACTCTACAACTGGAAAAGACAAGTAGGTGTGATAACATGCTGCAAACATAGCTCCCCATTAACTAGACTAATTCTGGTCTTAACTGCTGATGAAGCTTTCCATTTTGAAATCAGAAGACCTAATGCTAGTGGCAGACTAGCCAGTTCCAGTTGTTAGCAGGCTGTTTTGAGAATGCTCTGCTGGTGTAGAGGGACTCCTTAGGTTTTTTTCCATTTTGGGAAAGCTCTTGAAATGGGTTGCTTATAATAAGTGCCAAATCCGCCTTCCTACCTTGAGTCTTCCATGGCTGTTGAGATACTGTAGCTGTCAGGTACTTGTGGCAAGGAATAAACAGGAACAGATGTTCTCTTAAGCAGACTCTGTTTCCATAGTGATGTTCCGCAGTACTATATATTTTACATCACTGTAGAGATACACACAAACGTCTTGAAGAATTTTTTATCCAGATGTCTCAGATGATGATCTTAATGTGATGCAGCTCCTGAAACTTCTATTTTTGGGAACAGAAGTTGAAACTCTTTGGATTTAAGACTGGATTTTGTCAAGATAGTTCTTACTGTAGCTTCTGAGTTCTCATGAACCAAAGCCCTCCTTTGCTGAGTGAGCGTAACCAAAATACTGTCCCCCTAATGACCTTAAATGTAAGGAACAATAGGTGTGGTCACAGAGTATAAGAAAACCGTGGCAGTTATTTGTGTGGTTGTCTGTATCAGCAGCTCCTAGTGTTTTTTACACTCTCTGGGCAACGTGAAAAGACTGTTTTGGAGGATGAGACTAGCAGCAATTTTTCAGGGAGTTCTGCCAGATGTGGAAGACTTCAATTCAGAAAAAGCAGAAAGGTGGTTGTTCAGCTTGAACAAAGGGCAGAGTGCGTGTGTCAGGATCTCTACAGTGAGGTTTGGCTTAGAGAAGCTAGCCAGAACAGGGATGCTATGCTGAGAAAGTGGTCTTCTACGTACCTTGCTGAAGGGATAGCAGTGGGAGAAAGTTAAAGGTGTTGCTGCGCTTGAGACATGAGATGACAAGCACTGTGATAAGACTACCTTGAGGCAGGAGAGGCAAGGCTGTTGTTTGACATCGTATGGAAAAAGCCTTCAGCTTTTAGACATAGTCTGACACTGAGAGTCTGGAGGGGTTGGAGCTGATCTGCCATAGGTATGTCTCTGATGGCCTAGGTAATATCTATTCAGAATCCTCAAGAGGTGTGAAGTCAGTCTGGCAGAGTAGTAATCCTTGGAGTCTAACTGTTTTCATACTCATGCTGATTCAGGGAGAGGAAGATGGTGGTGTCAACATCACAGGTATCCGTTTGAGTCCATGGTCTTGTCCCTTCAGCAGAAATGTACTCTCACAAGTCGATCAGAATCAAGCCTAGAGGATAGCCTAGGGAAGAACAGGCTAAAGATGTCAGCAGCTAGCTCTTGTGAATTCAGAGCACCTGGTGAGTTCCATGGAGCCTGCTAGTGGCAGCAATAAACAGGAATAAACATGTTGACCCTGTTTGTTCAAGCTCTTCACTGACCCTTTCACTGAGATGGGCGACCAGGAGTAGAAAGCTGAGGGGAGGGATGGTGGCCTTCAGAGTTCTCCTTAACCTTCCTCAAGCTGAATTTTCTCTGCCTCCTGGTGGTCCTTTATTTCTCCATTTCATAACAGAAATGCACGTGTGGCTGATGTCCTGTCCTTGTGGGCTTGCCCGAAGGGAGCAGTTGAAAGTATGACTTCAGTCATGTGCTGTAGCTCTGTGTGATGCAAAGTACGGTTTAGCCGCTTCACTTGAGACAGGACTCTAGAGCTTACAGAGCCAAGAAAGCTGCAGGAGGTAGTCTGATGCTGGCTTGAGAGGGGCGGCAGCAAGGAGCAGGTTTGCTTTCTGCACAGCAGAGGATACACAGGATGTGATGACCTCCTCTCTAATTGCTTTCACAGGTTTGTGGGGGAGATAAGCCTTACATTGCCCCATCAGACCTTGAGCGGAAGCACCAGGATTTCAGAGAGTCAGCTGTCAGGCAGTTCCGCTTGGTGAAGAAGATGGGAGGGGAGGAGTTCTGTCGTCGCTACCAGGAACAGCTTGAAATGGAAATCGACGAGATCTATGCAAACTTTGTGAAGCACAATGATGGCAAAAACATCTTCTATGCTGCTCGTACCCCTGCCACTCTATTTGCCGTCATGTTTGCCATGTATATAACCTCAGGACTGACTGGGTTCCTTGGTATGAACTCCATAGCTACCCTGTGTAATCTCGTGCTGGGGATGGCTCTTGTATCGTTTTGTACTTGGGCATACGTTAAGTACTCTGGGGAATTCAGAGAAGTTGGAACAGCCATTGATCAGATTGCTGAAGCTATATGGGAACAGGTTAGTATCTGTTTTTAATGCAAAATCTTCCTTTCTTGAGTGGACGTATCAAAAAAACTTCTGTTCAGTGCTGGGAGTGAAAAGCTGATCTAGACCTAATGGAGAGTGCTAGTGCTGCCAAAGGGGAAAATCTGCTCAGAGGAGTGACTGCCCTCTTCAGTAAGAGATGCTGCACACACAGAATGTTAAACAAGCTTAGGATGTTATATAAAAAAAAGTTACTTAAAGGCCTTACTAGTTGCTTGGATGCTAAAGAGTGGAGGGACTCTTTTAAAAATCTTGTTCCTTTTTCAGAGCAAGGAATTGTGCTTCTAAAGGTACGTTTAAAGTGATAAACTTGCCCTATGCATGTGGTGGATAAAATACCTCGGGTAGTGCAAGAAATGGGGAAGGTGAAATGCTGCTGCCCTCCCTCTCCTCACCTGGTAATGTGACACTGGGAGGCTGATTAGACGTTGGAGAACTGGCTGCTGACTTGCAGCAACCAGACTGACTTGCAGCAACTGCTACGAGAGTGTGTACAGCAGGTTTCTTCCTTCAGGAAGACTTGTGTTGTCTGCGACAACTTCAGGTGGTGCAACTGCTGTTGCAAGAAATACTTGACAAACAGACTAATTCCTGAAAGAAAAGATGACATGAGGATAAGAGGACCAAAGCTGGAGGAGAAAGCCTTCTGTGCAGAGATTTTTGCTGCCTGAATCCAGTGGACATAGCTGTGCCACTAAAGTCAGTGTAGAGAATTCCTGACCAACTCTGACGAGTAGCGTGCAGAGCGTTCCGAATAGCAATGTCCAGTGCCAGCAGAAGGGAAGCACTCTGCCGCTGTTGTTACTAGAAATAAAGGGCTCGCTGAACTTGTCTGGGATGACATTAAAACGGGTCCTACAAGGCTCAAGCAAGTAACTACCCAGAGCCTTCTAAACAGAGGCTCTCTTCTACATCTGAAAAGTTACGCTGTTCAAGGCTTGTCACAGGCAGTGGTATGCTGTACCAGACCTGTCTGAGCAATCAGGTGACGTTGAGTTACCCAGGAGCAGAAACAGGGATTTATGATAGGAGTAAGGAGCTAAGCACCAGGGTACTACAGTTAGAGTTACACCCCTAACTAGCCATTACAGCTGAGGCTGTCCTGTACCACCGTAGCTCCTTGCTTTGGAGCTTGGGGCTGAAGAGCACTGCAAGGCAAGTGGAAAGTGTCGGTTCTACCTGTAGTGCTGGCCAAGCACATCTGCTGCTGCAGAAAGTGCAGTTACTTAAAGAGACTTAGCTAAAAAAGTAAAATCACTGAAAAGAATTAGTTCTGGTTTAGCTCAAAGACAAATATCTCAAGCACGGATTTGCCTGCTGACCTTCCCTGGAGGCGAGAGAACTTGCCTAATGCTAGCAAGGGTTAGCGGAGGGTGGTCTCCAAAAGAGCTTGCTGGTGGTGATGGAGTTGCACGTCACCAATAGTCTGCAAAGCACCCACAGGTCCTGTCTGAGTTACTCTGATTATATACTATGGTCTTGCTATTGATTTTTCTGAATCTCTGCCTTTCTTTTCCCTCCTTGCTTCAGAGGAATCCCAGGAAGGTGAGAAGTTACTGGCAGTCGGTTTCTTTTTTCTGAACTTGATTGACTTTTTCACTGCCTTCCAAGAGCTGCTTTTCCTAACAGCTGAATTCATGTTTTAGGTGTTTTCCAAACTCTTTGAAGTCCTTAGACGCCGAACGATTCGCCGTGCTCTTACACCAGTGCCGCGACAGCGACTCTCATCCAACAATAACAAGAAGAAAAACTAGCCAGTATTTTTAACTTTCTTTCTGTATCTGAAGTGTTCACACTTACACATATAGGACAATAAGCTGGACCGTCTGGGCCGGTCTGCATAAATGCTGTAACCATACCAGACTGATGCTGCATATAGGGTATGGAATTGCACATCCATCTTCTAGGAACTGTAAAGTGGTTTGAATTCAGTGAAATACTGCTGTGTAGGAGGGATCTCACTCGTGTCTGTAGCATGTGACTGATTTAACCTCATTACTAAGCAGTGAAACTCATTTCTCTTTCAGTTCATGCCAGTTTGTGTCAGACTTCAGCATTCTAAGTTTTTTTCATTATTTCAAGTCTCATCTCTTTGTATGTTTTTATATCTTATTCTCCTTGGTTACCTCATTTTTTTGTTTCTTTTGCACGTCTTTCATTCCACAGGTGTTGAAGCCCATGAGTGATAATTTGATGGAGGATCATATGAGGCAGTCTGTAAAAAACTCTATCAAAGCAGGCCTGACCAAGCAGGTGTCTCACCATGCCAGACTAAAGACAGACTGACAGTTCATCTCCTCTTCAACTCTGCCCTCACATCCTAGACATGCTTGCTGTACCATGAGAACTCAATTTAAAAAAAAAATAAAAAAATAAACCAAAGTTTACAATCAACTGTAGAAGTAGTTTAGTGTGACTGGCTTCAAAGATTGCTGCCATCACCTGGGAAGAGTAAGTTTGTTGGTGCTCTGGTTCCAAGATGAACTGGTGCCATGGAAGCTGCTGGAGGCGGGAGGGAGGCTACGTGTTTCACATACGGTCCTGGTGAACCGTGTGCATTTGAGGGGTGGGGGGCAGGGATCTTCCCCTGGTGTTTGAGTTGATGCAGTCTCTGGCTTACGGTGGGGATCTGTCCTCTGCAGGAGGTAATTTCAGGGAAGGGTGATGATCAGACCCACAGAAGGTATGCTCTGGCCAAGCGTACCCAGCTCCGTGCTGTCCCCTCGCTGCCTGTGACGAGTGTTTCTCTGTATTGAGCTGCTGAAGCGCTTAGAACCGCTCCATTAAGATGTGTATCTTGCTTTATTGCCTTTTATACCAGTGTTACACAAATGCATGTGTTGGTTCCTCACACTGCTGATGGCGGAGCTGACTTCTAGGGGTGGCAGTGGGGCAGAGTGGAGGGTGTCTTTGCCTTGAACTTGCAGACCTGGTCCCAAGGGAGGTGCATATCAGAACTGAGCTGTCTTTTTCTGCAGTTTAGCCTTCATGTATATAATATTGCCATTAATTCTACTGGGGGAGAAATTCCATCCAAAACTGTTGCCTACAGCTACCAAGCAATGAGTTAGGATTGTCTGTACAGTGTGTTTAGTTTTTATTTTTTAAGAAATCACAGATAGGGCATGTATATGAAATATAAATATATAAATACAATTTTGTATCAAAGTTTTGTAGTTTATGGCAAAACCTGGTTCTGTGGTAGCTAAGTGCAGTCCCTGTAAAGGAATGTTTGTGGCTCATGTAAATGTGTGAATGCATCGACAATTTGAAGTTTTTTGATATATTTGTGATATATTTACCTGCCTTGAGCACTGCAATCTCTCACCCCCTTGGGAAAATCAGTGGGAATGTTTGTTGTGAAACTCTTGTCTTCTGTTGCATTTTAAAGTTATTTCCTGTAATTTATTTTCAGTACATGATTAAAACCAGTTGTGTATATATGAAATGAAATTCGTGCTTATTTTTAAAAGATGTTCAAGTATGTATTCTACTACATAAACTATCTCAAATACTTATCCTGACAATTATATAAACAAATTGTCTGTTGTACTCAATAGCTTTCTACTGAAGCTGATGTTCCTCTCATGCTTGTCTCTGAAAGATGACATCTGTCTGGCTCGTATCCCCTCCCTCTATAGGAAAACTCTCTAAAGCATGCTGCTTGATTTGTGGAGTTGCTTGTCAGCTTCTGCCCTCCAACAACTGTATCATTCTGCAGTCCTGTTGCTGGCTCTGTTTGCACTCTTGACTAAATCGGTCTCAACTAAGGCATTTTCAGATGTGTGGAGTGTAAAGGCAGCTGAATAATTAACTGCTGTAGTTTTAGCTGGAAACAACTGTGTGCAATAGCTAGGGGTTTTTGCATTCCTAAATGGTAACAGTTTCCATCAACATTTGAGCTTCATCAGTCTCTCTCTTGAGGGAGGGAAATCATCTGTCTAGGACTAAAGCAATTGCACTGTGACTTTTGTACCATAAAGAACTGCTGGGGCATGGTGGTTACCTGTCCTTGGGAAAGGAGGGCTCGGCTCCAGATGAGCAATGCTGAAGGTGAGGTAGGAATGTTGCATTTTATGGTATCTTCTTTCAAACTGTACAGATTAAATACTGTTATTTAAACAATCTAATGCTTTGGTGATGAATCTCTTTATTATAAATAGTTGAATAGTGGGGCTTGGAGGGACAAGCCTGTGTTCTCCAGGAAGGTAGGAGTCAGATTTGAGGTCTGGCTGTGCCCTGCAGTGCTGGGGAGAGCAGACTTCAGTCCAGGGTGGGGACAGCAAAGCTGGAGGGCTTGACTCAGATGCTGCCCTTCTAGTGGAAGACTGAAACGGGGTCTGTAGGGGAAAGGTGGGGCCAGCTGGAGTAGGAGCTCTGTTCATGGGGGCTGTATGTTTGGAGTGCCAGCAGAGCGGCATGAGTGGAAAGCAAGTGCGGTGAGGTGGTGTGAAATGGATGAGTATTGAGGCAGATTTAGCTGGCAAGTAGGATACAGGGCCTGGGAGCCAGGCGCTGCAGCAATCCTAAGTCTGGGCTGGATAGGCATTGATTGCTCCTCGAGGGACCAGGAGGTCCAGGTGAACTGTAGGGTCTGGAGTTCAACAGAGACCTCTTTGTATGTGTGTGCCTCCCTCTGCAGGGGAAGGCTCCAAGGGCCAGTTCCAGTATCGACTTGTGCCTGGTGGGGGCATCCACAGGGGCTGTGTGCAAGGGTGGGCTGAACCAGCAACTGGAGTGGGGCTGGGGGCTGTATCTGTGTACCAGCTGCTGGAGTGGACTGGTGAGCCAGAGGCCAGCTACTGGCTGAACTGAGCCTCTTTGCCCAGTTGCTGGAGGGAGCCAGAGCTTGTGTGTGTGTTTCCCACTGCTGGACCTTCACCCTGACCAGCTGGAGAGGGACAGGATGAAGGTACTGGTGCTGAACGTTGGCCTGCATGGGGGGTGCGAGTGTGTGCCTGCTGTGAATGCTGGCTCAGCCTTGCTGCTGACTGCACACAGGGGCAAGAAGCTGTGGCACTCACCTCTGTTACTAGGCAAGCCCTTACTGTTAGTATTCTTAGCAAAGGCAGGTTAAGCATGGCTCAGCTTTGCCCCTGTACTGGTAAGACCATCAGGATCATGCACAGAGCAGGTACAAGGCAACAACTGAACTTCACTAGTGGAATGTGGGGGGGGCATAAAGGGCTGCTCTGCTATGGGCTCAGGGAAGGAGCTCTGTGAGCTGTTCCAGTGCTGTGCAAGCAAAAACCTATTTAACAGAAAAGTGGAGAACAAAACATGGTCACTTACTGCACATCAGCAGTACAGCTCTGGCCAGCTCTCACCTCAAAAAGGGTACAACAGAGCTATGTGGAAGATACAATAGGTGACAAAGTACAGCATGATGTGTGGGGAGGCAGATGAGGAGAGACAAGTGTGAAGATATAACAAGCTACAGGATCAGAAAGAGGTAGAGAAGGTGACAAGACAGAAGACACTTGCTCTTTCTGTTTCTTCAGGAAATGCCGATTAGAATGTGTTTCTTTGCTGGCATCACAAGAGGCACTCACACTCACAAACGCCTGCTCAAGTCCCTGGGCTCCTTGGGAGGTGAAATACTCATCTGGAACAATGACTGGTATGAGTTCTGTCTCCAGAAAGGCACAAACAGGAAATTTCTGGCTATCGTGCAAGTCAGTTTTCTTTCGAGCACGCTAGGTACAGGCCACAGCTTTTTCCTGTAGATGGCTGATCCTGAGTCAAGCTAAGGAAACTAGAAAGTACATCAGGTAGCATGGTACAGTGATAATGAAGGTTGGAGAACAGGAAGCCCTGTACTTTACAAACCTAGATATGCTGTGTCCAGTGGTTTTTTCAATTGTGCCTGCCAAGTATGGCAGTGTTTCAAACGCCCCTGCCTGTTGCTATCTTGGGTTAAAGTAATCAAGCAGAGGTTATGGTAAAACTTTCTTTTTTTATTAAAAGATGTGGGCAGGAGACATTATTTACACAAGTTCCCAAGTGCAGCTCAACTTAAGAACATAAAAACCAGCAATATGACAAAAGGATGGGGGTCCAAAACAGAATTATGGAGGCTACCGAACAGCGCGGCTCCCTGGTAAATGTGGACCTTCAGATAAGATCAGCAACTAAAACAAGAGAAAATGAGACTGTAAGTATGCGCTAAGTGCGCCCAGAGCTACAGACCAGCAGTACAGCACACCTCCAGGTTCTTCCCCAGGGGAAGCAAAGGTGGGTTGGGCTTGGGAATGCGGCAAAACAAAGCATCCCTTTCAGCTGCAGCACACCAGTTCCAAACTGGAGGAGGGCAGCAGGCCTTGCTGGGGCTGGCCCACACTCACCGTTCATGGGCATCTCGTCTATCTGGGTGGAATAGTACTGCTCAATGTCTCGCAGGATGCGGATGTCATCGTTCTTCACAAAGTTGATGGCTACACCTTTTCGGCCGTATCTCCCTGACCGGCCAATTCTGTGGAGGCAGAAGGAAAGAGAGGATGGAGCCACCTTGGGGAAGGGTAATGCAGCTGCACAACCTCCCCCCGCCTGCTCCTGAAGGCCAAGCTTACCTGTGTATGTAGAGTTCTCTGTTGTTGGGCAAGTCGTAGTTAATGATCAGGGACACCTGAGGCACATCCAGGCCTCTAGCCCAAACATCTGTGGAGATAAGGACTCGGCTGCAAAGAGAAGGGGACAGTTAGGGCTGGTCCACTGGACTGAGGTGGGTGCGAGAGCCAAGAGGTCACAGCCTCCAGCACGGGGCATCCCCTGCTGCTCTGTGCACCTGCCCAGAGCACACTGGCAGCACCCACGCTTTTGCTGCAAGGGAAGCTGTCCCAGGCAGCACCCAGACAGCTTTGATCTTTCAGAGAGAATTCTTGAGAATACTTCTCAAAGAGTTTAAAATACAGAGTCACTGTTTAAAGGTGTTTACCTTGCACCGGATCTGAATTCTTTCATGATGGACTCCCTCTCCTTTTGCGGCATGTCCCCGTGCATGGATGAAACAGTGAAGTTGGCTTCTCTCATCTTCTCTGTGAGCCAGTCTACCTGTGCGCATAGCCAAGCAGCCAGGGTTAGTCAGCTCTTTGCTCAGGACAGCCAAAAGTGCTTGTTGTGCTTGGAGAATGTTTGCAGTGACATATGCTGGTAAGGACTGGGAGACACTTTAACAAGCATTTGGGAGCTAAAGGAAGTAAATCTTACAAAGCATGGGCTGTACGATACAGAGCTCTACTGGCCCTAAAGGGAAAGGAATTAAGGGCATTTATTCAGAAAGTGGGGTGTTTCAGTGATTTTAAGCAGTTAGAAGAATAAGCACATTATTACTGAATCAGTTCTATGTCTCTGAAAAGGCAATTCCTGCCAGCTATCTCAGGTCTGTCTGCAACCGCTCGTTTAAGCTAGGCACATCCCAAAGACAAACCTCTGTTCTCACTAAACTATTCCCAAACAGGGAAACAACCAGACCTCTTAACTGTGTTTGTCCTAGCACCCTCCTCCGAGTCGCCCTCAGAAAGTAACATGCCCACCTCATGGCAGCTGTACCTTTCTCTTGGTGTTACAGAAGATGACAGCCTGGGTGATGGTGAGTGTGTCGTAGAGATCGCACAAGGTGTCAAACTTCCATTCTTCCCTCTCCACAGCCACGAAAAACTGCTTGATTCCTTCCAGGGTCAACTCATCACTG